ACACCTAGCAGATTACTTATTACTGATAAATCTTTCATTTCTGACCTTTTCGAAATGTCAGCTTCTGACCATCATTTTATTTATATTATCATGCTGGCTCATCGGCTAATCTCACATGTAGACCATTAAAAAGCTTACAATCAGCATGGTCAACCGTACCACGATTCCCCCTTCGTTTCTTTGTCAACAGTTTTATTCATTTAAAAATCGTGATGCCATATTTTGTGCATGAGAATTTTTTTGAATTTATGCACATCTTCTATAAGGATTGACTAGGAAATTCATTTTCAAGCAGCGATAGTGAGCTACCCACGACTTCCAAATGATTACGTGTATGACTGTTTATTGACGAGTTGTTTAGAAGTATGATGTGTTTTATCAATTGTTTGTTGTTTAATGCTAAATTGCAGCTCATCACCTTTCGGAACCTAAGGTGTGTTGCAAAGGTAGAAAATTTGACTGTTGTATGGTGTAATGAATGTACAGGTTTGGCTCTCTAGTGTCAAGTGATTCAAAACACCCAACTCTTCCAGTTTTCTTAGTCTAGATTTTGAAAATTTTGTGATTTTCTCATATTTATTGATGATCACATTTTATTGACTTCCTTTCAAAAACGGGTGTCTTAAAGGTTTCCATATTTGCTGTAACTTGTTTTCTTAGGGCTAGAAACAGTTATAAAGATGATGTCAATGGACTGTTAGACTTACTTGTAGCCTGTCTTTAGACTGTCAAAGGGCTGAAAAAATTTTTGATGTGAAAACTGATGTTGAAAATACAGGTACTAGTGGAAATAAAGAAGCACTATGGAAAATTTGGACAAGCAGAAACATGTGGACTCTATGATGCATTTGTCTTCAAGAAAAAGTGCCTTAGCTGGTGAATGAACGATTGTTTGTGTTTGATGTCATTTTCCAGAACATCTCCATGAAAAGCGGAGTCACTTAATTTAGAAGATAAAACCTGATATTGCTGAACACATACACGCTTTGCTTAAAGACGTATTGCCTAAAAGCATAGCCTAAAAGCAGCTTAAAGGATGTGGCAAAAGGTGATAGACAGCAAATATATTTCCAATAGAAGATTGGGAGGCTACTTCATAGCAACTATGGATAACAACGCTAATGAATGATTGACTATGTAAGATGTTTAAAATGCTGCGCGCAAATCATTTTTCAAAAATCAGATCGTTTCTTGTAAGACATCATAACAGCAAGGGATTTCGGTATCTAAAACCTTAAAATAATGAAGAAAATGCCAATTCCATTGTTATATGGAGAAATAAATAGAAAAGCATATTTTAAGATGTACATCATATTCTGACCAATGACTACCCATGTTTCAGATTAAGAGAGATAGATGGAAAAAATACAGAGCTATGCAGCAAACTTTATAGGCAAGAGGCTTTGAAAGGAAATATTTTCATAAAAATTTCCTCAATTGAGTAATGAGATCTTCATAAACTTTATAGTAGAAAAATTTTTCAAAAATAATAATTTCTGCAAAAATCTTTCCTCCTGGATTTTTCGCCTTGTGGTGAAAACTTGTTTAAAAGTGCTCTGAACAAGATTCATATATCATATATCATAATTCTTAGGATAATGAATTTTGTAAATTGAATCTCTAATTAGATATAGCTTATAAGCAAAATGAAACATACCATTTTCTACAGATGCAGCATTTACAAATGCCTGGATCCACAAACCAAGCTCTGCCTGGTGATCTCGTAAATTAAGGCAAACTATTATCTAAAAATCAAAAGCAATACTTCTAAATGTTATCATTCATTAGCAAAATAATGTTGGGGTCCTATCATGGTCAAAACAATCTAAGCAATTAAAATCAACCATACTAACTCTACAAAACAAAATATATTGCCAATGTTTATCAACTGCTAAATTTAGCAAAAGATTTGAAGGAGCATATGATTTGAAGGAAGAATGGGTGCAGACAGTTGGGCATCTTCAAATATTGGTATAAAACCCCAATAATTCCACACTGGGACCTGGCTGGTAACTAACAAAACACTCCTACTCACTGTTCTATTTTCCCTGGTTAAAGCCATTTAAGGGACATATACTTTTCAAAGGGAGGGCTGTTATCACACAATTTAATTCCAAAATAGCAATGGAAAACAACTGAAAGTAATAGAAAATATAAAATTGCCCTTTGAATGCTTACCATTGAAAACCTGTGCAGTTCATGTGGCTTGATTAGAAGATCCACATTGCTTTCACAAAGTTTTCTATCCAGACACTTGTTGGTTTCTTCATACTCTTTAATGTAATGAAAGATTTCCTGGCCCACATGCTGCTCCAATATCTTCACATTCTTTGGAGTATTAAGGAGCCATTCTTTGCAAGAAATGCATGACGTTATCTCCCGGAATCCCAATCAAAAGTTTGCATCATACAGAAGGCATATCATGCATTGAACATAAAACTTATTATCAATTCACAATCCGTTAACTGGGCTTAAGATTAGAGTATGCACTTAAAGGGCCTAATAACAAAGCATTGAAGTGTTAACATAGGTTGGAGAAACAGAGTTTAAATCGAAACAGATATGACATCATGTCTAAAAATTGAGCACCAAGATGGAGCAAAAAGTAGTGTACAGCCTAAGAAATAAACCTATGGGATATTTATAACATGCTAAACTTTTGTCAATTCATACTTTAATAATTATTAAATCTTAACTCAAAAAGAAAAACCTTACATATTTATAACGAAGAAAAATTAAACAGTATATATTTTACCTGGTTCTTTGTTAAGGTCCTTGCCATGCTTTTTACATTTGTGAAAATCACATCTTACAAAACGATCATCACTTGATGTTTCACAAGCAAATACAGTGCTTGAATATCTATAATTACTTTCCATCTGAAAAAGAAGTCATAATTTTTTCTTTTTAGAAGTTCACGGCCCCCTTTTTGTGGTTAAATTCTTCAAAGTAAAGCAAGTATGTATAACTTTTTGCTGAGATAATTGGCCCCCTATTGCTCTTTCATATTTAGTGAGAAGGTATCATTTTGCCTAGAAGGCTTCTGTGTTTCTTATATACACCAATCACTAAAAAACAACTGTGACAGGATGATGATTATCATCAATCATGATCATCAATCAATAAATCAATCATGATCATTCATCTATCATAATCAAAATCTTGTATAAAACTTTGAATGTCAAAATGCAGTCAGGTAATTGGGAGGCAAAACACCTTGGATGTTCCAGTGTGAAACTTTTCAAATTTCAGACAAATTACAATCACTCAACATTAAGATATTAATCACTTTATATCTGATTACTCGACGTTGCTAAAACGAGGAACAAGCGGAACAACCTAGTAACAAGCGGAACAACCCAGTAACAACCCAGTAACAAGCAGAACAACCAAGGAACAAGCAGAACAACCCAGTAACAAGCGGAAATGTGAATTAATTGTTTATAAATTGATTAAGTTAATGTGAATTAATTAAGGCGTTTATAATCCAACTCTCTGAAGTTCGTGTGGGCTAGAACTATCAAGAGGCCGTCAATCATGTCTTCGTCTGTTTCGGAGGCTTTGTGATTTTGCCAACGGACAGAGAGAATCTATCGACCCCGGAACGGGACGAAAAATAAATAGTTAAGCATGCCTAAAGGGGTATGGGGAATGCTCCCCCAGAAATTTTTGAAAATGGTGGCTGCTCTGGTGGCTATTTTGGTTGCTAAAATAGCTATGCTGGGTAAACTGCTCTGGCGGCAGTGGCTAAGATAGAGGGAATCAGAGGGGGGCAACAAAACCCTGTAGAGCTAGACCGAGGGGCAATTCACTCTTGAAAATTGCGTACGAGATTTTACCAAAACTTAAGGATTTCTAGGGATTTTCAGATAAAACAATAGGATTTTCATAAAAGGTGTACAAGATTTTCTTGGAGTGATTTGCCCCTCGAGCTAGACTCCTATTTTGTCGGAAAACCTCTGGTCTTCTGGAAATTTTCTATGTTTATCTACTTGCTATGTTTTATAGGAAAGAATTTAAAGCTAAATAAAAATAAGAATATCTGGATATGTCAAAATATTTATTTATTTCAGTTCTGATGTCGTTATATTTTGTGTACTTAGATATGATTGTATTTAGAGTGTATTATGGCTCTTCAACTAAGTTTATTTAGATAAATTAATTTTTTATGATGGTGATGGAAACGCCAAACATTGGTTGCGTGTTTGTCACCCTGCCATCAAAATTTCACGATATTGCGCCATTCAATCGCCTGGGGAGAAAAATGACATTGATGTGCCTACAAGAAAAATCATGCCCTGTCGTGGGATAAAAGTCGGAAAATCCAGGAACCAGGACACTGATGGTTTGCCTAGAATCATTTTTACTGAGGCGGAAACCTCTTCTTTAATCCAAATTATAAGTTGTAAGAGGTTGCCCATTGTATTCCTTCCCATGCAGTACATTGTTATAAAGGAAACATACTACAGTAAGACAATTATTGGTGGGGCTTCAGAAACCCCCCCCCCCAGCCCCCCCGCTCCGACGGGCCTGAAAAATGTGATTGCAACAGGGCTACATGTACAGATTTACACATCTATTTGCAACAGTGTGTCTGTTGTGATCGAATGTATAGGCATGCTTTACTATTTATTTTTCGTCCCGATCCGGGATCGATAGATTCTCTCTGTCCGTTGGCAAAATCACAAAGCCTCCGAAACAGACGAAGACATGATTGACGGCCTCTTGATAGTTCTAGCCCACACGAACTCAGAGAGTTGGATTATAAACGCCCCCATGTGGTATTTACTAAACAATTAATTCACATTTCCGCTTGTTTCTGGGTTGTTCTGCTTGTTCCTTGGTTGTTCCGCTTGTTACTGGGTTGTTCCGCTTGTTACTGGGTTGTTCCGCTTGTTCCTCGTTTTAGCAACATCGTCTGATTACTAGCTTTAATGTTATGCAATATTGAAATTGTTGTGTTTTCAGCAACAACTTGAAGCCTGTATTACTATATAGTGTACAAATTTGGTACAAGCAGCAAAAAGTAATATGCATTGCCTATATTCTTTGCCAAAGATCTCATCCAACTTGGAAGTTATAGAAAGCTTTATTCAGAAACAATAAAAGGCCACACAGAGACAAAAGCATGGCACGAAATAACAGGCCTGTTTATCTAATCTCTAGCTTAGCCTGGTAAGTATGAGATCTAAATTTCATTTTGAGCAGCTTTTTAACACAACAAGGTATGTAAATTTTTAGAACCCAGTGGCCCCCAAAGAAAACCTACATGTTTTTCTGGCCCTGGCCTATAGGATGTGCATAGCTCCCAAGTTACCCGCGATTTACCTGCACAAAATCTTCAATTGCTAAATCCGCCTTGGTTTAACACCGAAAATTAGTAAAATTCTACTTTTGCTATTGTTTTTCACAACATTTTGTGCCTTTACCGCTGCTGACCCTCTCATGACTTCTAAAAAGTTGAGAGCTTTAGTTATGCAAAGAAGCCGTGATAAGCAATTTCCTTGGCAAGACTAAAAAACGTGAATAGGTAATTACATTCCTACCAGATTTTATGCTCTGGTTATGGTCTTCTTAGCATAAAGTTTCCTTTTTCGCCTGCGAACCCAAGGCACACTTCACAATTCAGCAGCCATTTCCCTTAGATTGTTGTTGATGTTACGTGCTGAATCAGCACTTCGTGACAGAGACCCATTGAAATGATTTCTTTCAATCCAAACGTTCGTAGATAGAGGTATTGTATTTTGAAACAGAATCAAACAGTTAAGGTGGAGGAAATATGAAAATTCGTAGTAGCATTTGATACAAAAAACCTTTCCAAATTTTTTCTACGAAAACTTTTTTAGTAGAACTCAATTCGACTATGAAGCAGAGACTTAAAGGTGACATAAGAAATACTATTATTGCTTTCGATGCCTTCATCAGCAGTGAAAATTAAAGAGGGCTTGGAAAGTTTACCTTAAAACTCAGATGTTCTGTATAAGTTATAGAAAGGAAAAGGCCAGTCTAACAAAAAACTCAGAAAATACACTGTGTATGCCTCATTACTCAAAGAGCTCAGTGGGAACCAAATTTTCTTCAAGACCTTAATTAGCTTTGCCGAGCTACTCCAACATACAAGCATATCATTTTTATGAGTTTCTGTAGTTTATTTTCAAATTGAGTATTCTGTAGTTTATTTATGAGTTTCAACCTGGCGCAACTCGATTATAATTTTAAAATCATACTGGATACGAATCTTACTGTACTGTGACTCATCTTGAATAACGATTCTTTACCAACAATAAATGAAAAATTCAATATAATTCAACTGAATAATAGTAAAATGAGCGTTTAAAATAAGTAAATTTACATTTTGCTTTATAGCTGTGGATTCTATTTTTATTAGCTATTAATTTGCTTCTTTCTTCTTTCCGCTCTCTATCATATTAACTTGCTATAAAACCTCTCTGCATACGCCGAACTTCCCTACTCGTTTCTATCATTGTGCGCTGTCATCCTGTCACCAATTTTCGAATCCCCTTCCTCCCAACCGTAAATTGTTTAAAAAAATATCGACTAGATTGTTGCAAAAAACTTTCATTGTTATGGCAAACCATTTCGACTGAACAATCGCTATACCATCCACTTCTTGACTGATCGATCAATAACTGACGAATGTCTTCCGAAGAAGTCTTGTCTTACACTTGTATCTC